TTCGTTCACAAAGCACTTTGAAGGGCACTGGTCTCGTCCACCTTCAGTGGCGGTTGTGGGCACCTGTAGGTTTCTCTCCCACACAGATGTCTGTAGTTGGCTGCAGGGGTCCAGAGAGTGTCACTGCCAACGGAGAAATTCCAAGTATGGTCTCCTGTGATCTTGGCTGCGACACAGGAAATCCTCAGGAAGAAGCCACACCTGCACCGAGGTGGCCTTTTGAGAGACTGGGAGCACCAGCTGGGGGCAGGAGAGGACAACACCCAGGAGAGTCACCATGGCTGGCGGCAGAGCCACTGAACATTCTGGTTTCTTGTGCATTTTAAACCCTGTGAGTCATGGTGCTTTATTATGGTTTTTGATCAGGTGCTCATTTTGATGAAGCGAAGTGTTCTTTCATTAGTTTGGTGTTTTTTGTTTTTTGAGACAGGGTCTTGCTATGTACTCCAAGCTGGCCTCAAACTCACAACTTTCCCGCCTCAGCCTCTCAAACACTGGATCACAGGTGTGCACCACCGTGTCCTGCTCGGATGAGCTGATTTTCAATGGTTATTCTTTCTGGCAACTCTCAACTCCCATTCAGGATTGTCTTCTTTAAATCATACTTTTCTTTCTGAGACAGGGTCTTGCCATGCTGTCCAGGTTGGCCTTGAACCCGAAACCCTCCTGCCTCATCCTCCTGATCACCGGGGTAATAGATGTGCGTCGCTGTGTCTGGGTTACTTCCCAACCTCTGGCACCTCCTGTAGCACAGAGCTGTTGGTGGTGCTTTGCGTTTTTCTGCACACTGAAGTCAGAATGTCACTGTTTTGGTTCCCAGCTTTTGGGGGGGCACAGCCTCCTCCCCCCCTCACCCACCACCCAGCTGCACCCCGGCCCAGGGCCCCTGCTCTTTACCGGGGCCTGCGAACCTCTTCTGCAAAGGGCTGAAGAGTTCACACTTTCTGGGCTGTCTAGTCTGTGTCATAGCTACTGGACTCGGCCGTTGCAGTGCCAAACAAGCCACACACACTATGTAAATGGTGACAGTGACAGTATCTAGCACAAGTTTATTTATGAAGATAAGTGGAGAGAAAAAGTCGGCTCGTGGGCTGCAGTTTCCTGTGCCCACCCTGAGCACTTACACAGTTCCCTTCTCTCCTTCTCTCTTGATCTCCTAAGTCCTCAGGTCACCAGATCCTTACGCCATGGGTCCTAAGGGGAAGGCTGACATGAGGAAGACAAATCCCCGCCCTAACTGTGGACGACGGGTGCCTGCACAGACGTGTGGTGAGAAGCTAGGCCAGGACCCACACGAGGGAATCCAGCAATCAAGAGCGAACCGTCTCGTGCATCTTTTGTCATGTTAGAACGCCACAGCTTTCCCTCGGGCTCCAGCACCAAAGCCTCTTCCTGCGTCAAGGTGTGTCTGCCTGATGCTTTGGATAAAGGGCACAGCAGCACAAGGCTGCTATAAAGAGTCAAAGCCAAGCAAAGCGTCACTGGATAAAATACTTGACACTGAAACTTCAAGGAGTTTACCTGGCTCATGGTTTTAGTGGGTTCAGTGCACGGCTAGCTGAATCCACGGCAGACACAGCGTGATGTGAGGGTCTGGTGGAAGAAAGTTCCTCACCTCATGGCAGCCGGGAGACAGAGAGGGGATAACGCATCACAGAGAAGAACGCATCCCGGCCACACACCAGTGACCACCTCCCACCAGACCTACCTCAGGCACGAACTCATCAGCGATGGATGCACTGGGGGTAAACAGCCCCATGATCCAATCTTTCAAAAGCTCCCCCTCTGAGCATGTGGGACATTGGGGGCGTTTTTACACCTACCCCATACAAGAGGCGTCTATTGACTGAGCTGTTCCTGATGATGTATTAGGTGGCGATCAGCTCTCCAGGGAGAGAACCTCATGCCGAGATGCTGAGGGAATTCAGGCCCAGGAGCGGCAGACAGGAAGCCTGCTCTCCAGCCGCTGCGTCTTCCCTCACCCACCCCTTCCCTTCTTGCTCTGTATCTGGGCCTAACTATTTGCACTTGGGTTCCAATTGGTTTTGCCTGGTACCTCACCTGTCCTTTGCCTTCCCCTTCTTCCTTTCATTGGTGACACTGGAACTCAGGACCTTCACTATGGGCTACATTATGAGCTCTTTTTATCTCGAGACAGGGTCTCGCTAAGTTGCTAAACTCCCGCGGCTGGGCTTGGACTTGTGATCTTCCTGCCTCAACTTCCCTGACTGCTGGGTTTACAGGTGTTTGCACCACAACTAGCAATTTACCCTTTAAAAAAATTACCGAATAATTGCTGATTCAGTTCTTTAGAGGAGGGCTCAAGACACAAATCTATTTCACAGATTTTATCTGAGGGGAAGCCATGTACATCAACCTGGTGGCATATTTATCTGGTTTATCTAAGGTAAATAGTTACATAACATTAGAAGATGCCATTTAACCTAGGTAAAACATTAACTCAGTTCCACGGCTTCGGTCAAGGTTGACATCCTCAAGCCAATTCTGGGTGGTCGAAACACCCGCCGTTTGACCGACTCAGTTTTATTTTGCTTTCCTTTCCCATACTTCTTTTTATCTGTTCGGTTAATCTCTTTCCCTCTGTCTTTTCTCATTCTTTGCTCTCATTTTTTCCGGTACTGGGGTTGAACTCGAGCTTTCCCACTAAGCTACATCGCCAGTCCTTTTGAGATAGGGCCTAGTTAAACTGCTAAGTTGCTGGAACTTTGGGTCCTCCTGCCTCAGCCTCCTGGAGGCTGCGATCACAGGTGGGCACCACCACACCTGACTCTCGCTCCCTCTTTCTTGAACTTTCCGACTTGTCGTACTGCTTTTGGACACATGCTAGTTCCCTTCTTCCTTCTGAAAATAAAGACTAGTTCTAAAATATTATTTGCTAATTCAAGTAGTATTTATTGAGTCATTGCCATATAGTTGATTTTTTGCTAGGTAATAGGCTGGATGTACAAAAACAAACACAAAAGACAAGAATCTCTACCTTCCTGGAGCTTATATTCTAGCAGTAACAGAATAGATAAATGTCAGTAAACCAAATGCATTAACAGGACAGACGAGAAGCATGGGAAAGAGAAATAACATGGAAAGGCTAGATGCTTGAGCCCTTCCGAAGCTTGGGTGGCGTGTTATACTTTGAAATAAATTAGGAAAGCTCATAAAAAGGTAATTTGGCATGCATCTGTAGTCCAAACTACCTGAGAGGCTGAGGCAGGAGACCTAGAGCTCAGGTGAGTGTGTACAACAAAGACAGAGAGACAGATCGACAGACAGACAAAGACACAGAGGGCTGGAGAGGTTGGGTTCAATTATTCTTGGTGCAAAATAGTAAGTCAGACGGAACGTGCTTTGGGTGATTTGGAGTTTTGTTTTACAGCTGCGGGTAGAAAGCTACCGGTCCAGGCCTCCATGCCCAGCAGCAATGTCTCACTATCCCCCACTCCTCAAGGGAACACCCAGGTTTTCCCCGCTGGCTAGCCAGCGCTCCTCACCCATTTTGAGTTGCCCTGAGATGGGGAACACTGAATGACAGAACCGAGTCAGCCGTGTGCACAGAGCTCGTCTCCCTGCTGCTTGTGGTGTCTGTAGTTTTATTTAGCAATGGATGTGGAAAGTGTCACCTTATGAACCCACTCCCCCTCCTGAGCTGGAATGCAGAGGGGTGTGTCTGCCAGTGCGTGTTTAAAGCGCCCCTAGATATCAGTACATCCTGTATCAGGGCAGTCAGCTGGACTCAACTATGTTTGTGTCTTTCTGCTCAGTAGTCTGAGGCTTTTCCGGGTTGGAACCATCTTTTACCGATCTTCATATCTCCTGCACGCACAGGGCTTGGCAGGGATTCTTGCTGAAGGAATGTGTCTAAAGTACACTCAAGGACAGGGTGATGGAGGAAAATATGTGGGTTATCAACACCAGACAGGGAAGCATTAAGGTTCCTAAAGTATATTTATCTCTCTTAGGAAAAACAAGCCCGGCAGGAGGCTGAGACAGGAGATCACAATGAGTTCGAGGCCAGCCGGCTACACAGTGAAGTCAAGGCCAGCCCTGAACTACACATCAGACCTTGTTCAAAACAAAAACCAAACCCAAATCCACAAGCCTGCCCCTCCTGGTATAGAATGTGCCTTTCGACTTCTGTGTCTTCCAGCCCAGTGAGCTGGAGCAACGCATTCTCACCCTGTGCTGCTGTGGGCCCATGAGAACTGGGAACTGAGCTTTCACGTCTAAGATTGCAGGCTGGCGACAGACCGCTCCGCTTTGGGGCTGGGGACAGCGATCCACTTAGAAGCCAGAAGCCAGCATCTGGGTCTTGGTCTTCACAGGGGACGTCTGCCTGGCCCCCTGGCTAGCACCTTCTCCGGGAGGCCTCAGCTTTCGGGGCATCTCCTCCCCATCAGGGGGGCCGCTGTCTCAGGGCCCTCCCATGGGAGGCCTCTCCTCAGGTGAGACTGTCCTGGCGCCCCCTCTTTGGAACTCCTCTGGGCATCGCCTCCCTGGGGTGCGCTTGTCCCTCATCTTCCCTACTATGGGACCGCTCCCCCGCCACCCGGGGCCCTGTCCTGCAGCTCCTCACTGGGGGAAGCCTGAGTCTCGGGTCCTCCCCTCCTCCCACCCACGGAGCCACCTCTGCCAGGCACCCTTTCTGCCCGGGGGGTCCCTGGCCCCCAGTGCCCTCTCCCCTCTACGCTAGTCCGCATTGCTCCCCCCACCCCCCCAGGGCACCTGCGCTCCCTCTCCGGTGGAGACACCTTTCAGGTATTGCCTCCCTCCCCTGGGGCAGCCTCCGTCCCTGGCCCTCTCCGTTCCCCACCCGGCCCCCCCATGGGGACCCCCTCCCCCAGCCCCCGCAGGATGACGGCCCTGCCGCGGCGCCTGCTTCCGGCGCGCCCTCCCTCAGCCTCCCTCTCGCCGTAAGGACTTCACCCGCGCCCCCACCCCAGGGGCGGGACTTCCGCCTCGCTCCGTCCTCGGGGGCGGGACTTCCGCCGCGCCCCTCGCCCACCGCCAGTCCTCGTCCTGCGCCTGAGGCGGCCGGGCTCCGCCTCGCTCCCGGCGGGTGCGCGCTTGGGGGCGGCGGTCGGGCTGCGGGGCGCGTCCTCGCCGCGCTCGTGCTCCTCCCCTCCGCGTTTCTCCCTGTCTCCCCCTTCCCTGTGCTCGTCTCCTTCTCCTCCTGGTCCTCGCTCGCTCCCCGCGTCGCCAGCGGCAAGATGGCGGCGCCCAGGCCGCAGCCCGCCCGGCTGTCGGGCATCATGGTCCCCGCGCCCATCCAGGACCTGGAGGCCCTGCGGGCGCTCACGGCGCTCTTCAAGGAGCAGCGCAATCGGTAACGGCACGGGAGGGGGCGGGGCGGGCCGATCCGGCGCGGGCGGCGGTTCCGGTGTCCTGCGCGCTGCGGGCCGGGCCGGGCTCCGCGGGGCGCGACGCACGCAGCCTGGGAGCCGCGGACTGCGTGCCCGGCTCCGGAGAGCCCAGGCCTGGGACATCTCTGCCGCGGGTTCGGAGGAGGCGATGCCCGGAGCCCTCAGGCCTGGATGTGGCTCCTGGCCTCGCCGGCCCGCTTGTTAGGCGCTTTCTCCGGGTGTTTTAGCCTTGTGGCCTGGCCGTGGGGCTGGAGTGTCCCGTCATCGCGGAGTGTGCGGAGGGGCGGGTGAAATACAGCGCTGCGGACCGTGCGTGAAGCAGTGCTCGCCTGATTGTGTCCCTTTGTTCCCGGGGTCGTTCGCTCAGCAGTTGGGTGGGAGTCACGTCGCACGCCGTCTCCCTGGTGGGGTTGCCACGAGGATTAAATGGCACAATGCATGTTAAGTCCCGAGGACCGGCCTAGCGAGTGCTAAAGAAAGGTCAGCTGACACTGACATGTAACACACGGGTTGAGGGTCCCCAGTATTGTGCTTGTGAAGTCCTTGGTCTCTCCTGGAGGGAGCTAAACTGACCCGCAGCCCTGGGGATGTGGATAAAAGGCAGAGAGCACAAGAGAAAGGAAGACCTGGACTCGGGCGGGTGATCACTAGCTGTCCTCCTGCCTCTAACGAGGCTTCCCTTAGCTGCAGTCACTGTGGGAAAACAAGCTGCGTGAAAGCCCCAGGTCCGTTCCTTGAGCTTTTGGGGAGCTATGTTAAGGTACACTTTAAGATGCGTGTTGATTTGAAGCTTAGGGTAGACCTGGCCCTCCCAGGACCCCAGCCCCATCATGAATCACTGGTGGAACACCTGTGGAGCAGGCGCCTTGCCAGGGCCTGAGTGTACCAAGATGAATGTCACATGACTCGTTTATCAAGCATGTCGGAGTTGCTGCGCCATGGAGTGGTCGTGGAGGTCTGGAGGAAGGAGTGCTGGCACAGAGGGCGCACAGGGATGTGCCACACAGCTAGGAAGGTGTGAGATTACAGCAGCTGCTGGGTTACAGATACAGGGGTAGCAGACAGAGCGGGGTTTGTGAAAGGGCCCAGGCTGGTTTTGCAGAGCTGCACAGGATTAAGTGAGGCAGCTCTCAGTGTCTGGTCCCCGGAGATGTTTGTTCACCAGTTTTCTGCTTCTGGAATCTGCTGGGGAAAGTCCAAGGCCCTGAGCAGTTTACAGTGCCCTTCCTGACTCCTGTTGGGAGTGACATGAGAAGGTCCTTGTGTTAAGAGTCTTGGGATTGCAGCCTAGGGAGTAAAGAGGCAGAGTTCCAGCAGGGGGTCTTCAGGAGGTATAGCAGAGCCCAAGTGGAAAAGCACCTGACTTAGGAGGTTGTGGGGACAGAGAGGGTAGATCCTGAGGAACAGTTCTGAGACAGAAGGGACAGGACTCAGGCCAGGTGGGTTGTTGGTGGGGATGAGGAAATGGACTGTTTCCAGCTGGATGCAAGCTCTGCTGTCCTTGTTGTAGGCAGCTTGGAGAGCAGGAAAAGTGAACTCTGAGGGGCAGGTCGCCAGGAGAGACTCTGACAGGCTTCTGGTCCTGTGTCTGCCACCATCTGGTCCGTGTCTTTGGGTGGGTGGATCACCAGGGATCTGTCCCTGAGAGGACCGCTGGAGGCCTGCCCCCACAGGGATCCTTACTCACCTTTGGGTGGCGGGGCCGAGTGGGAATGCAGAGGGACTCCCCGGGAGGGTGACCCAAGGTCCGGGAGCCAGGTGGGTCCTTAGAATAGCAGGCAGGAAACACCAGACAACGTGAGGACAAGAGGAAACACGGTAAGAAGTTCCAAGATTCGTCTTTCCTCTTCGTGGGAGAGCGAGCACTGAGGAGGACTGCAGAAGTCATGTGTGTTGTGCTCCTTAGTGCCATAAAACAGGCAGGCGCCTGTCTGTGGAGGTGCAGGCAGCGGCTTTGCATCCATGTCGCTCCAGGTCTGCATCCTGGCTTAGGCTCCATAGACTCTGGAAACAGGTAATATCCATTTCGCTGGACTGTGCCGAAGGTCTGTGGTGTGTGTGGCACTGTGGTTTATGCACAATAGGTGGCACTTAGGGCCTGCTGTTAAGAAATAGCCCTAAGGGACTGAGAACCAAATTGTTTGATCTCCTGCCTTATTGGAAACAATCGAAGGTATTTCAGGAAGATGGTACTTTATTCTAATTTTGAGGTTTCCAGAGACAGACAGAGAGAGATCGATCAATCCCAGGGTCTCATTACAGATTTTAGCAACCCCGAGAGAGAGGAAATGCTTGCGTCCTATGGTAAGTGGTTTTAAACATGCCCACAAATTCTTTGACTGGAGCAGGCGAGTTTTACCCCGAGTGTGGACTGCTCTTAGCCCCCTGCCCCGCAGTGGAGTTGGCAGCAGAGATGGATGCAGCTTCTGAGATGGGGCCCTGCAAGGTGCTGGCACTGTGCTGAGTGCTGTGGCAGGAACGAGCCTGCTGCCCACACCACTGACCAGCTACCTTGGAAGTGGATATCTGGTTCCCATCAGACCTTCAGCCACGAGTGCAGCCTCCAGGGACTCTGAGCTGCCCAGGACCCTGCCCTCCCATCTGGGTGTGGGAGAACATAGTGTCATTTTAAATCCCTAAATCTGAGGGGTCCTGGGTACCTAGCAGCCAGTCATGAATCTAATCTCCAGTGTCACGCTGTGGCAGTTGTGCTCTAAGCGCTGACGGAACCCCAGTCACTGACATTTGTTCATGCAGCATTGTAAAATGTCAGTCCTAAGAGTCTTTGCAGCTATTTTTTGTCTCATCTACTATATGTTTGTCTTGTATCTTTTGTTTAATGTTGACATCTGTGTAGTTCACACTTAAGTTGCTTTTTATGCCCTGTTGCTGTGTTCCGTGTTATTGTAAGTTGTGCCCCTTTCTAGAGCAAAGCAAATGAGTTTAAAATTCTACTTTTGGTCTTCTGGAGGTTTTATTTTCCGCCCTTACCACTCTGATGTATCTGAGACTTCTCTGGATCCCACAAACGGAGAGTGGAGCCCAGCAGGATCCTTGGCCATACTTTATACCAGTGCCCTCGTTAGTGCCCATGTCAGCCACATGGAACTGTGTAAATTCAGATTAATTAGAAGTGAGTGCCAGTGATGACTCAGGACCTTAGTCATATTTTAACGGCCACACATGAGTGTTTGTCTCCTTGTAAAAGTTCTGCCTCGTGGTGCGGCGTTTAATGCATTCTCTTGTGGGGGAAGATTCCTTGTGGCCCTTGCGAGTTCTGCACCAGTGTAACATTTGAAATTGCTTTCCACAAGGCTGCACGTTGGTTCCGCATCTGACAAGCGTGTCGGGTTCACCGCTGCATCCCCACCGCTGAGCGCGAAGCGCGCTGACCGCAGATGCTTGGATCCCTGTGTGGCGGCGGCGCTGTACCTTGTTGCTCATTTTTGCAGGTGTGGTGTCTTTTTTTGCTCCTGTAATAGGAATTTCCCCCCCTGAGCTGTCAGTTTTTCTTTTTTCTCTTTAATCTGTGTTGAGTCAAAATCATTTTTCTTCCAAGTTAGTGTATTAACAGTGCTTCTCTTCACGCTTCTGAGCCCCTTCATTTTACAAACTTTTTCAAAAAGCACTCAGTGCATTCTCACCTAGAAATACCTTGTGTATTCTCTGTCTTCTTCCAGATCGGAAGACCTGTGAGGGCAGTGCTGTCTGGTTTTTTTAGTTGTCCAGTTTGGATAATTCTTGAGTTTGATGTCTTTCACCAATCTGGGACATCGTCAGCCAGTATTTCTTCAAATGTTGCCTCTCAACTCCCGGCTTCTGGAACTCCAGCCACTCCTATGTTAAAGCTGCTGCTATAATATACTTTTCTCCAAGTTTTTGTTTGAAAATTTTCTACTCACCTTTCTTCTGGTTCTCTCATCTGCATCTAACCATCTGTCACGTATTCTGTGCTTTGAGTCAGGGATTGTATTTTTGAATTATTTGTGATCCTGGGGATTGAACCCAGGGCCTTCGTACTACCTCTCCAGCCCTTGTTATTCTGAGACAGGGTCTTGCCGAGTTGCTGTGTTGCCGAGGCTGGGCTTACACTTGGAATCTTCCTGTATCAGCCTCCCAGAGTGCTGGGTTGTAGGCATGAACCACCATCCTCAGCTGTTTCTGAGTTAATTGTTTTATAAAATTTGTTTGATTCGTTTCTAGATTCCTGTAAAGTGCTGAAATTTATCTGTCTTCTTAAACATACTGATAGTAGTTTTAAAAAAATGTATCTAAGCTGGAGATATAGCACAGTGGCACAGTGCCTGCGCCTGGCAAGCAGGAGGTTCTGAGTTCCATTCCTGGTAAAACCTCCATACTCAGAAAAAAAAAAGAATATATCAAATAACTGTAGATTTTTGGTTTTGGTCTATGATTAGTCATTTGGTCCTATGTTTTTGTTAAATGCTGAATATTTTGTATAGAAAAAATTGGCATTTCCAGGTGTATTTTGTTTGCAAAATATTTGCAAACTTAAAACTCATATCGATACGAAAGCTTTATTTCTTTCAACACATGATGGTGGGTTTGCTAGATGTCATTTCACTGGGATAAATTGAACTTTGCATACCTCATATCATTCATAAAAAATACTTTAACATGGACTGTAGGTCTGCAAGCCAAACTGTGAAGAGTTTAGGAGAAAAACGTAAGAGACATCTTTGTGACATTTAGGGTGTAGGCAAACATTTCCTGTCCAAGACACAGATAACACTTCTTGTGTAAATACATACTGGTGTCATCAAATAAGACTTTGTCACAATTAAAGTTTCTCAGAAGACAACCTTAAGAAAATTAAAAGGCAAGCCACACAGTGATTTCAGCATTCCTGCAACTCCACTGGGCATATAGCTCAGTGGTGGATGCTGGCCTAGCGTGTTCCAGGCCCTAGGTTCACCTCCAGCACCACGTACAACACAAACTG